GTGGGGGCTGGTCGTGCACTTGAGCTATTTGCTTATTTTCCTAAGTTTCCAAACTCCTTTCGTAGTCTGTCGCCAGAAATGACAAAGTCAACTAATCGGTGGTACACAAAAGGTGTGTGATAACGCTCTTCAGACAGACCCAAATTCACTTCATCAACCAGAGGGCCAAGTTGATGAGACCCAATATTTTCAACACAGATAGAGAGAAAGTGATTATTTAAAGTCTCTTATAACCGTGTGCTACACATCCGACCCATTAGGACCAAATATTAGACCTATATGTGGTGTGGCAAGCTCTGGCGTGTGTTAAAGCGTTTCAGAATCTACCGGGTGCATTGGAATGGAACTAAGCATTGGGATTGCTTACAATCTGCATGAGCAACCTGGCGTAGTATACTGTATCTAGTGCCTAGACTGTCGTCGTAATTATATGGGTCAGACAGAATGGAAACCGGCATACTACATACACTAATGCATGCAGGTTGTGCCACAAGATGAATAATTACAAATCACGACCCCGAAACGAATTGCGAGTTTAATTTCGCACTTGGTGAGATGACCGCCCAGGCCAAAATTTAGTCAAAGTCCGACCCTCTGATAAAAGCCTGACTAACCAGCATTTTGATCTCGTGTCCACATGCAGCGTCCTACACAGCCACCACGGAGCTGTTAGATAACTAAATAATAAATTGTTTTATTTAGCACCAATAACGACACTGTCACTGTAGAACGGTACCTGCACTAGTGGTTGTTGGTTGTTAAAAGTACTCTAGAGTTGTCCTTCATACGGGTATTGTTGTTGTCATAAAAGTGAACGAGTGTTTTCGGTCCAGGCAACATAAATTATTACGTAGCATTCTACGGAGGAATTTATGTCTCGGACCAGAAATACTACTGGGTGTGGTATTGTTAACATCACGAACGGGCCTAAACTTTATACGTTCGATCTGCTCTGCTCGCGTTCAAATTAATTTGGAATGGTTTATAAGTATGAATTGACTGAGTATGCAGAGCTTATTAATAGGAGGTTTGTGGTCTGTGATAGAGTAACCTGAAAACTCTTAAGATAATAAAGTACAGTCTCTACAGTGTTCCTCTTAGAATTCAAGCTGTTTTGGAACCTGAGATTTCAGACCCATTAGGAAAGTAGTATTTGAGCTCAAATAAAACTAAGTTGTTTTTGTCAAACATGGTTATTGCTAAACACATCAGCTAACCAAAGGTCCTAAAGATGTGTTGTTCGTACAGCAATGTCAGTAAAGACATCTCTTTGAGCACGTCTTGTGAGACGAGCGAGACTGATGAGATACTGTCCCAGATCCTTAATAATGGTAACTATTCTTCGACATCTTAGGCACATTCTCCAATTCGACTGGCTGTTTCTTCCTTTCGTGGATAAAAATTGAACATTTTGGATCCCAACGGGAATTCGAATATTTCCGGTGCCATGTCACCTTACAAGTCTCCCGCAGAGAGCAACCCTCTTTATCAATATGTGCCTAAAAATTCATAAAAAGTGTTTTTGCCCTATGCTGTCGCTTAAAGTGAGTAGCAAGCAGTGTTCAGGTTTGCAAGCTATATATTATTACATTCGAGTCAACAAGACTTGAAGTTTTTTTCGGAAAACGATGCATAAAAAATCAGAATTCGTAAAAAAACATTTACTGCGGCACCAACAGGAGCTCATACATGCCGTTAAACCAGAGGTGACCTCAAAATCTCGTTATTTGCTTCCTTCGCTAATCAGAATCCCAGAGCCATACAACTGTTACCTTTCTTCTGCCTGAACGAGAGACTTTTTTTATCATCGAATGGCGATAATCGAAATAATCATACCCGCCAGCATAAAATTGCTCCACTCCGAAAGCTGACATCGCAGGGAATATACTCGAGCAACTAGCTAAGTGCGAACTCCTGGCTTTTTGCTATTGATTTATTCCATTATTTGCTCTCGAATTAACCGTGACTTTCATCCTCTTAGGACCGCTGCGCGTTTGTATGCGGGCGCACGCGAACTAAGTGCCTCAACTATGCAATCATATGCGGATGAACACCCCATGGTTAGATGCTGTCCCGAGCTGAATGCACTCCGGATTGATAAGAAGCTGACAGACTTGAGCATTCAAGCAAGACAGTCACCTCTTAACTGCCTATTTTTTAGCTAAAAGACAATGTGATACTGAATGTGCACAGGTTAGTCCTAGCTGCACGGATACCCTCCCTGTATCAAGAACTGACGGTGCATCCAACAAGGCGCAATTCCTTTCTTTACTGGCCGTCGATTGCCCCAATGTGAGTCTTCTCCATTGCTAGTGTGAGACATTTCCGGTTAGATTCGCCTCTGTCTTCATCAAGTATGTGTACACCGGCGAGTTGAAGGTCAGTGAGTCCACTGCCGTGGGACTGATACTTTTGGCAAGGGAGGTTTCTCTCCTACGCGTAGAGACGTGGGCCGCAAGTTATTTGGCCGCCAGGTATTATTTATCATGTTATTTCTCCCCCCCCCCCAAATACACCCCTGGTCCGGAGGACTGTGTCCCCACGACACTCAACGCATATCCTTCATTATAAACAGACTGAAGCGCTTTTAAACTGTCATGGTTCATTAAAAGCCGTAGCTTGGATGACTGCTAACTGACGGGAAAACTCGTCCTCCTCAGGACGGAGAGCTAGGCCCCGGCAACCCCTACGACACTTCCAGTCAGTTTAGATACTAGCCGACTATTCTGTGTGCCTGTAAAGACCCGGTCCATATTACGCAGATCGGGCGTGTGCGGCACGCGTAGACGGACCGTTTATTTTTGTCAGCTAACGCGCTCGATCACACCGTAGGTCTTCTTGATTCTGTTTTGACACCGGGCGTAGGAAGGTGAGGGGGGTAGAAAGTGCGGTAAAGGCAGCGCAAGTCACCATCCCTGCGCCCGCCATGATGCGTGGCACAAAGGGAACGTCGTCGGTTGCAACAGTCGAACTGCAGGCGGGTTGGCCGACGTCAACGTAGGTCAGTCAACGAACACCACATCAAGCCTAAGCGCCAAAGCTGCTGCTTCTGTTTCCTTCCTAGAACATTCGCTACGGTACAACTCGCGTAGGGTTCTATTCCTTTTCGGTTGTCCCACTGGAAGACGCACCACCAATACTGCTGTGCTTGCTCAGCCCTGCGTTCTGCTACGCCCACTTCAGACCTTTGGAGACCACGCAGTTATGTTTTCGGCCGGCAGACTGTCCGTATAGAATGCAGGTCATCTTGTCAACCTTGTTTCTCCGACTTCCGACTTGGAGCAATCATTAGCCAAATTAAGCTGCGTGGTGGGCCTAATAGCAGAGTAAGGTTACAGTCGTGCACACGACCTGTTTTGTTTCTTTGATATTTCATCCAACTTAACGGTCTGAACAGTTTGGCGGGGTCTACTGCGTACAAATGAATCAATATTTCAACTAATGAGCGGACCGAGGAGCATTCAAGAGAGCTTGATGTGATCTCTTGACCTACACACGGACCAGTTTTAAATGCAGCAAAAGATATCTTGAAAGCTTAAAAAGACGAAAGACGTACTTTAAACTAAAAAAAACAGATTATAACGAAAGTTCAGTGTAGACAATCTACTTTCCTATGAGTTACTTCCGCACAGGATGCAGTTGTAAGTCCTATAAGTTGCAAAAATACTTGTCATTGTTGAGATCTCTTAGGAATTCTACTAAAACCGATGGGTTGGCGCATCTATATTCCACCATTTCTCCTGAATATTGATTATTAGTATGCGATATCACAACCAGTTATCAGCAAGAAAGGCGACTACTATTTACCACAGTTCATCTTCGAAATTTATCATGCAGGTGGATCGGGAGTAGAGCTTTTCGGGCCGTTAACTGGCAACTTCAGCAAGAATTTCTATTTGGTGACTAGGAAAGAATTCTGATTGAAATGCGCTCTTTATAGTTCTTCATCAAACTGCTGCGACTCATTTGTTTCTTTTGTTTGGGCGCCGTTTCGGACCACCTCTACATGTGCCTATGTCTTTAGCACTTTCCGACTTGTCTGGGGAACGAGTAGAGCAAAGACTGTCTCCAGGTCCGCCGTTGCGCATCTGGTCGACGCAAATAATCATGTGCTCACTGGTCAGGAATGTCAAATGATCCACTGGGTGCTGAATTGACTGTGAATATAAATGCATCAACGCATCCTCACCTCAGTTAAAGCGATAACCATCCAGTTAGGTAACGGAATCTAATGAGATCAGGAAAATTTCTTGCAGGCTTTAGATATGCCATGACCTGTCGTATGGTCGTCTGGCTCATGTCTGTGCTGCCAATTCCGATATGTGGACTTGGCCTCCTCTCATCTGAATCCCCTATCAAGCCCCCTCTGCTTACTCTCCATCCACATTCTATCTGCCTGTTATCAACCATAGAGCATAGGCGAACTTTGACATGTATCCTTCAGACTTATCCGTAGTGGTCCCTCGATGAATTACAAACGCACTTTCGCCATGCTGGCAACTTGTAGCGGCCGGTTCATATGATGGCCGATTCCAGTCAGAGCACTGCGCGGCTTGAAAATCACCTGTAAGAAGGCAATTTCTCAGATTCCCTATTTTGTCGCGAATGACTTTCCATCCCAAATTCTCTGTTTAAGACTTTGTCCAACCTTCCCCATTTTATCTTATCTCATACGAAGTAAACTCATTTTCGGTTAATAAGTTGGTCCTTAACCTTTTTATTGTTCGTCGCCTCTTGCGACCATTGAAATACGGATCCCAGCGTCATTAATTATCTACTATTCGTCGTTTTAGTTTATACTGTACCACGTATCGGCCTACCCAAGGACGATACGACTGTTCTGAATTAACCCATGCTGGACCCAGTCCAAAGAACGTGTCCTAATATGGTTTTACCTATAGCAGGAATCCCAGTCAAACTCTTCGTTCTGTTTATAATTACAATTTTCCTGAAGGATAACCACCGAAAACCTTGCAAATAATTGGGATTTTGCAAACTTCATGACCGTTGAACCGTTGAAGACTGCCTGTCTGCAACACATGAAAGTATACTTTGAGGACACTGTGGCGACTGACCTTTTCCTTCGCCTGCCAGCTGATCAACTGTTGACTCTGCTGCAAGCCGATGATTTGCAGGTTGACAGCGAGGAGAAGGCCTTCCAGGCGATTGTGCGGTGGGTCAGCCCTGAGGGCAAGAGAGATGGCGACCGGGCAGAATATCTACCCCAGCTGCTCAGGGAGGTGCGCTGGCGGGAGACGAACCCCCAATTCAGAAGACAGTTGATCGAGCATGACTCTGTGGTGGGAGAAAATGTGGAACACTTGTGAGTACCGCAACCCTACCGCCCGTTCTTACTCTTTTGCCTTCCTACCATTAGACGTCTTTTGAGCCTTATAGATAACTGGATCTCAAACCCCGCAGAGCATGCAGGAAGAGAATGTCCGTTCAATCTGAATCGCAGAGCCTCGAGTTTGCCCGCATCTCTTCTGCTGTTTGGAGAGGCGAGTGAGGGGAATCGTTGGTCAATTGTCAGCTACCACCCCGAAACCGGCATTGAGGAATCCGTGGGAAGAATGAGGAAACGTTTTTATGCAGCCTATGTAGCCCTGGGAGGTCAGTCAACACTTCTCTGCATCTCGCTTTTGTTTTTTTTACCGATTTTTCTAAGAATCTTAGCCTAGGTCTCAGGAATCTGGCAGGTTTTCGTCCCAAAGTAGAGTGCAGTTAAATACGAAATCAGCTTGTTAAACAGGAATTGATCCAAGACAGAAACGGATAATTTTGGACTCTTGTACGCTAGCACAAGTTGGCTGTCGACCAAAGCTTTCGAGGTTCCAAATCGATTTGGTGGACGTCTACCTGTCAGGGGTTCGTGCTACCTAGCCCTAGGAACTGGATGTTCAGTGAGGTTGTTGGAGCACCCGTTTTGTAAATTGGCACTCTTATTACTCGATAGACTACCGCTATTTAGTCTTAGGTCCCTTAAGTAGACTCTCTCGAAATACAAAGTTGCTATTTTCACGTAAACACAGACCCTCAGCATTCTTGATTGATGTGCCAGCAAGTCATACTCCATAACGCTTTGGTCAATCTTTTTGATTCTAAGGCCCTGTTTCTAAGTTAAGTCAACTTAGTGTCTTAGACGAATTTAAATTGCGCATGTGCCTTTGCATTGGACAAATCGACCTGTCGCTATTAACGGTTTTTTGGATTTTAGTCAGTACATATTAACTAATATCTGGGCCCTGGTACCACAGATATGATCTTTCCGGTCTCGCACCTGCGGCGAAAATGTAAGAAAGTGGGACCCTGCCATTGCGCTACTTTTTCGGTCTAGAAAGCACCTCCGACACACCGAACCGGACTGAACCCATGAAACTGGCGTCGAAATTGGTACGTCCTGAATGATCTACGTAGATGGTCGGATAATTCCACGATGGCATTCTTGCGCGCGTCACGATCAACGGGTCAGTCTTGGCAGCTTTCAAGGTAACAAAAGGCGTGAAGCAGGACTGCGTACTCACTCTCACCCTCCTTAGTCTAATCTCCTCGGACACACTAAGATTGGCATACCTGGATTCAACACAAACTGCCGAACCAATGGGAAACTGCTTGACACGCGGCGTCTGCTGGTCGAGCAGAAAGTACCGAAAGCCAGGGCTTACGGCGCTTTATTTCAGTGTACGAAGCAGCGATTGCCCGTTCCTGTCTTTAATCAAATTATCTCATTTGTCCATGCATGCTAATCACTACTGCATGCTACCCTGTTTTCCTTTGCTAACTGACAAGTGGGGAGGGTTGGGGTTGAGCTTCTACAGCCATGATGTGTATTTTTATGTTCTTGACACCTCTGTAGACAGCGTCTTCTCCATTGGGGGCTGGATAGAGGGACAAGGTGTTTCCTCACGTGTGGACGTATTTGATACAAAGGAGCGTCGCTGGAAGCTGCAAGCGCCGCTCATCATTCGTCGTCAACAGCACGCAGCAACTCTTGTCACCGTTGGGGATCCACTCAAGGATGATAGCGAGACGCTGATCCTCGTCTGTGGCGGGGGCTATAATCAACCAGCTGATTGCGGTGGTGACTGGCAACTTCTACGCGCTTGCGAAATTTTTGATCCTCTGCAGTGTAGGTGAGCTGCCTGGGTCATAATTGCGAGTGGTTTGGAGGCATCTTTACTTTGCACTCTAAGTGGATGGCGGAACTAAGTGCGCCTAGCTCTTGAACAAGATGTTGGTCCGTGGCTTGCGCAATCATGCGATATCGACACTCCCTGGTCGAGGCCATGAGATTTCAGAACACATTTTTTCTTTGTTGAGTTAACTTAGAGCTCCGGTTTCATTGTATCATCCCGGAGTTCAGGTTATTCATGCTGCGAGTGTTCAGCCGCAGACGTTGACGTAAATATGCAAGTCGCTTTTCTTTCTTTAAGCGGCTCGGCATTACTGTAGGGACCGCAGCTATGTGCGTATTATTAGCACTTGTAGTGGTAGTAGTATTAGTAGTAGTATTGCCAGCAGTAATAATAGTATACAATCGTGTGATTATTTACCATACTGACAATACAGGTGCCAGCTAGAAGCCCAGGCACACGTGTTTTGCCGATTTCGTGCCGCTGCCTGACGCCGGTGGTAGTAGTAGTGGTAATGGTGGTAATAGTAGTAGTAGTAGTGGTGGTGGTGGTTGTGTTGGTGGTGGTGGTAGTAGTAGTAGTAGTAGTAGTGGCCGCCAATGTAATTACTAACCGGGCCAAACGTAGCTTTGATTTGGTGATCGGACGAGAACCGGTGCTTTCTACGTGGTATGGTCGCCGATGTAGTTGTGAGCTCCAAGGTTTGCGAGCGTCTGCGTTGCCATGACCGTCAAATCTTGGTCTTTCTAACTTGATGTGCGCTGGCAGTTCTCCAGTACCTAGTTCTCTGGCAGTAGATGCGTCTCCTCCCCCCGCTGGGTATACAGGTCCTGTGCATGGCTGCCCAGTCACACACGTTTTTTCTGCTGTTGTTGTTCTGGTTTAAATCCTGTTCAATTGTTCGTTGTGGACCAGGGAGCGTGGAGTGACACACCAAGTGGCGGGCTCGGCCGCGCCATCCACCTGCGTCCTTCCCGCCTTCGGTCTCCTTGACTCCGTCTTGACACCGTGCTCAGGTGGGGAGGAGATAGTGCGGTAGATGCTGCGAGGGTCTGCTCTCATTATAAACTGATTCACACGCAAGCCACCGTGCCGGCTTCATCTTGCTGTGCAGCATGTGGTGGACATCATCGGATGCGACGATCAAGCTATGAGGTGTGGAGACTTTTCCCAAACCAAATCGCGGCATAAATTATCGATTAAATATAACTTTCTTATCAGTAAGGTTTCTTCAGAAGGGGTGGAATCTTTGTTTCTTGCTTCAGTTAAATATTTCACCGATTTCTCATTTTAGTCGAGATGGGAATTGCCGTATTTTTCGTATATTCCGCATATTTCCATCAACAGCCTTACGATGACGGTGAAAATACGTCCTCGTTCGCTAACAGTCTCGCATACTCTTTAGTAATCACACCGTCCAATTGTCCCTGTGTGGTAACAAGCAGAAACTGAACAAGAAAACAACACAAGCTGGTGCACATCCATCTACGTGGGTTCTCGCGGTAGACGTCCTTTGTCTTCTCATGGAGTGACTAGTGATCAGACAATCACCTGCAGGTCGAAAAGGACCAAGTCAAATGCAACAGAGACTGAAACAGCAGCTGTTCTGGGCTTGGCACTCTCGAATTCTCTATGTACTTTTTAATTTTTAACCACTGTGCCACCACCCATCCCTGGCCCTGTTTTTGTCTTTTTTCACCGGAGCAGGATGTGTGGGAGTAGAGAGTGGGATAAATGTAAATTATGCTTGCATCATTTTAGACAACTTCGCATGAAAGTCACTACTGCACCCCGTTCTAGACAGTGAATGTTGAGAAGTGCTTACCAACAAAGGCGCGAACCTAATTTCTGACCTTCGTGCCTTCCTCAGTCAGTGCTGCACGCCCTCGTCGCTTTTTATGGATGAACTACCGTATTTGCTGGTCGTCCTGAGTCCGGTCGCTTGTTCAGCTGTTGACTGCCCGGTGAGGACTAAAATACACCCTAAATAGCCACTAACTCAATCTTCCCTGTCTTAGACTATATATAATGGAATAACTCCTCCTTGCGAAACACCAACCTGAAAATAGGAGACACATTCAGGTGTCTGAATTCCGCACTGACGAGTAAGAGCGCGGGAGGAGAGCATTGCAATGCATACTGCTAACTTTTGTTTGATTGTCTGAGGCATACTGGTCCTTCAACACGTATGGTTAAACAGTCCGTCTTAAAGTAATTCCGGCTTGTTGGAGTCAGCTCTATTTCCATAGGGGCTGTGGACGTCTTCGTTCATTACCTGCTGTTTTTTTCTTCCTGTTCTTTTTCACATACTTTGTCTTTCAAATTTCATCTTAAGGTGTTTCTGGCAGATTTTAGTCATGAAATAGGTACCCAATTGTGAAAAGGCCGGCAGACACAATGGATTCTAACCCGTGACAAAAGGCATGGCGTCCTTGCGGTCGGCGCGCTAACCACCTGGGTTTCGAAATGTCGACCGAGAGCTCGGATCTTTTGCTCATTTCGCCAGTTTACCCGGTCATCCATATCGCCGACTTTTGTCACTATTGGGTATTCAACAAAATTGTTCATAACCGATAAAGCATCCATTAATTCGACATCCCTGGTCGTCATCTGGTGGATTTTTCAATGCCTGCTTGGGAAAACCTGCTTGGCCAGTTGGCCTACTGCATAAAATCGGTGGATTTCTTACGTTGCAATGGGTAGGACTAGTAACTCAACTCAGAGTTGAAAAAATCAAGGTTCTTAGTCGAGGTCTCGAAGCTTGAGTGATTAGGACGTTGGCTGCACTCAAGCCTGGCCCATTTGTTATGGGATCGATTCCTACACCGACTTTTCGACACTTGAGTGTCCAACCATCTCCTTCCCCTCCATCTCTTTACCTCGCACCACGTCTCTTTTGTAATTGTCTCTTCTGCATTTTAGATGGCACATTCTGCCCAGTATGCGAGAGAAAAGGGTCGCCATGGCAGCTGTCGCGCTGCAGGACGGCCGAGTTTTCTGTTTTGGCGGTTTCGATGGTACATCCCGTCTCTCCACAGTGGAGTTCTGCTGCCTGCAGAGAAACTGGCGTGAGACAAAGAGTGTCGGTGCTGCCGTAAGCGACGAATTTTGGAAGGCTGCTGCGCCAATGAGATCTGCGAGGTCCAAACTTGCAGGTGCCTATTTTAGGGGGAAAATAATCATCATCGGTGGCTACAACCGCAAGGGAGGTCTGAGCAGCGTGGACATGTTTTCACTACCAGATGCAGACCGACCACTGGGCGAATGGACCGGGCTCACTGACATGCAGCAACCTCGGCACCTGTGTTTCCTCCTAGTTTGCAACGAAAGACTGTTTGCCTTAGGTGAGTACTTTTCATTAAAGATCGGCTGTCATATCTTTCAACCCAGTAGTCCTTATTTACACACTTGGGAGATTTCTCACAAAAAATGCCCTTTCTACTGTCTTATAACTAAAAGATTTTTGCAGGCTCTCGCTTTTACCTAGGTAGGAGTCGCTTGAAAAGCATAGAGTGGTTTGCGAATTTCTAGTATATCTGAGGTCATATAATAAGCACTTTGCTAAGGACCGTCGTTTTGCGTTGACACCCTGCGCGAGACTCTTGCTGACTGAGGTAAAATTGACTAGAATTGCCATTTATGACATGTTTGTTGTCGCTGTCGTCGTCGTTGTCAGACAGCCATATCCCATCCCCAGGCCGCGAAACCCAAGCTCTCGGACCCTCCCGGTGCTTTTGACTGGCTAAGGCCGATACGTAGGTCAGAAATGTCCCTCTCAGTCTGTCCTTCTGGTGCAGTAACATTGGCTAGTACTACGCTAATGCATGATACATCCGAATCTACCGTGCAGTGTTTAACTCAGTCTCCATTATCTGAGTTTCCAACACTGCTGAATTATTAATTGCCCGCTGTTATCTCACCACCATCGTGCGCTTCGGGCCAAAGCTTCAAGGCAAAGCAGACTCGGATACATTCCGCCCTGATATCCGAAACGAATATAGCTTGCTGATATGCCAAAATAAGCGGCCTCAGATCTACAGTAGATGTGCTATATCATGAAATGTTGACTGAAATTCTGAGATGTGTTTTTTAATCGATAAGACTGCTACTCGCTTGATGGAAAATTACGCCCTATTCGAATTTTATACTTGTAGATAGAGAACATTTGGGCTTAGAAAGTTTCTAATTGTGAGCTGTTCAAATTCGCGAAATGTCCAATCATACAGCATCACACCAGCGCGTCAATTAATGCTACTTATAAAGTGGACAACATGGTCTATGTCCATGGCAAACGTTTATGGACCCTACATGACTTCTTCTTATTGGAGCATAGAAATATATGATTCACCTTGCACGGAAAGTATACAGCTTGTATTTTGGAAACCCCGAATGCACGTTTAACGGAAGGTCGGGCTCACAATTATTCGTGGATTGAAAAGTTCTTTTTTTAGCCGAATGGCACTCTACCTTCAAGCATAAAAGTTGGAGAGGACGTGATTTGCCGCCAAGTGAGTAAAAGAAAGAATATTTTCGTGCATGTTTTCTGTAAAGTGTATTTGAATTTATAGGGGTACTGAAAGTCTATGGAAGACATGCTACGTAAGTAGCCACTTTTGCGGAATTTGGTTTGTGCAGGCGGGTGATTAGAGGCATTCTGACGTGATTGTAACATTTCGGGATTATGCTACACGATGATTAACATGACAGCGCCGCCTAAACAATCTTTTCGAACTAGAAACACATTTCAGAATTTCAGTTAACACTTCATTAGATAGCATATCTCTAAATCGGTAAACCCCACCGACCTTAGCCGACTTGATGACAAACGACCAAAGAGCCCCGGTTCTAGCCGTCTGGTCTTCCCTGCTTGGTGTTTGGGTTAGTCTGCGCGACGTCGACAAACAAGCTAGAAGTAGCCAATCTGGCAATACCCCTCCAATACCTGAATCCATATTTTTGCCCCATCATATCTCAGTCCCTGTCGGAAGGAGGATGCAACTCTTGGCTCAGCTTTAATTACATCGAATACTGTGCAAACACTGTTTTGCAGTGTAGTTGGGCATTAAGGACTCAAGTCGCCGCAAAACTGTACAACCGCAGTTCTGGTTCTTTCGCCCAACTACCGTTAGTGATGGACCTCGTCTGCCTCGTTCTTGTAAGCTTGCGGATCTAGGCGCTCTGAAAGGTTGGTATGCGTAAATGACGCGAACGCAGTCGTTATTCCACAATTATTCATGTGTTCTTTAAGGCTATATATCCTTTTTCTGGCCTTCTTACTGCTGACTTAGCTCGACATGACTACAAATATCTTAGGTCAGAGCTTGTTTGAGAGTGCAACCTTTATACTCGGTCCCTGCTTGCTGAATGAATGCCCGAAATAGTCTAGGCGATGATGGGGAGCAGGTGAAAGATTGGTGTAGTTATGCCGCTCCCTTGTTTATATTTATATTTGGTTAATCACAGATGTTAACGAATCCGAGGACCCTTCTGCCTCTTTAACCCACTAGATCAAAATCTCGTGGTTATGACGAACTTCCTCTCGATTAATCTATTTAATTGTTCATCTTAGGTGGCGAAGAAGATTCGCAGAATACCCTTGAGGAATTCTCATCTAAAGATCCTCTGCCGCCCGCCGACAGCGACCTTACCACATGGACGTGGATCGAAAACAGGAGGGTGAGTAAACTGAACGGAATTCGCGGTGCAGCAACAGTCATTCTTTGATCTTACTTTAGAGTTGTTAACGGTTTGTTTATTTGAGTAGCCGGAATTACGGCGTCTTTGTCTATTCTGCAATGTGAACCGCCTCTTCGATTTTGTCCTCCAGTTGTTTTTTGTGTACAGCTTTGTATGCATTAAATTTCTTTCCAGCATTTCGCACGATGTATCCATGAATGGTTGATCACATGAGTGGTTGAGTTCCAGTCGACCGCACACTTCAGAAATCCGAGCGTTGGAGTCTCTTTTCATCTCTCATTTTTCCGAATTTTTTACTGAATTGGATTTTGAAATAAACATCCTATTGTAGCCGAGAGACTTCAGTGCTTTGTGCACGAGAGAGAGATAGACATATGCTGCCCACTCGACCGCTACATCGAGAAATCGACTAGTCTGCCTACACCCTGAACTAACTTATGCTCTGCACTCTTGACGTCTTGAATGCGGTTCGTTTCGCGTTCAGAAAAGAGTTGCAAAGAGAGGATAGACATTGCGCAGTGAGCAGTTATCTGTCTAGGAAGGACCTTTTGATTCGAGTAGTTGGGACTGGCCAGGGGGCAACGCTAGATGAATTCTTCGAAAGACTACTATAGCCCCTTTTTGAGTAGTACTTGCCTTGACTTAAATTTTATCTCACTAACCTACTTGTTTGATAAATAGGAGTCTCGGAAGATAGCCACGTCGGCCAAAATTAAAGGTAATATATTTAAAGGAAGCTGAGTCCCTGAACGCTCAGGGGAAGGTCGACGTTTTCCTAGACTCAACTTCCTTACATAGTCGTTCGATTTAGTCGTTCGCAATCGGATTCACGTAAGCGTGCATACGTTGTTTTTTTAAGGACCGCGAATTTGTTCGAAATTTGACTCTCGCAAATATTACGGCCCTTATCGCTGTTATCTTATATTGTGTCCATCGTTTGACTGGCCTTATTACCATAACGATACGGTATTACGAAGGCATAGGAAATAACTTGTGCTATCCGCGTCCTCGACATTGAAAATAGGAAAAGTCTGAGTAGGTAAGATCGGGCTTCAGAGCATTCTAGTAGCTTACAGACGATAAATTACTTTCAGTAATAGGCATGTCCATAGTTATAAGATGTATAAGCCATGTTTTCGCGTTCCT